TGGCTCGTGGCATCGAGCTTATTGCGGTGCCTCCTCTCGACATGCACNCACGCAGTACACCCAAACACGCGCAAATCAGAGACATCTGGCTTCACGCGGTGGAAAACTTCAAAGGGCGTTATCTGTTTGCCCGACACAGGCGAACAATTATACAGGGCACATGCAGTGGTGATAGCTTCGGCCCATAGTTCGTGCGGTAATCCTGAGTCTTGTAACATCGCGCGGGTCTTCTCTAGGAGTGTGCGGTTCAGCCTCTCAGCGCGGCCATTTTGCTCAGGAGTGTACGGCACGGACGTGTCGTGCTGGACCCCCTTACCCTTAAGGTACTGTCCTAGAGCCTTATTCAAGTACTCCCCACCGCGATCCGACTGAACTGCTAGCAGCTTCTTGCCCGATTGGGTCTCTAACAGCTGCAATACTTCCTGGGCCGCTTCCGGAACTTCTCCCTTCGTCCCTACACAGCGCACCACTGCAAAACTCGAATACTCATCCAGAAACGTGGCGACATACCTTGACCCGCCCATAGACGGAACAGGCATCTCACACACATCCATATGCACTCGCTGCAAAACACGGTTTGCTGCATTCCCGGACGGAGGAAAAGACGCGCGGGTATGCTTGGCCTTCACACACGGCTCACAGATACTCTTCTCCTTCACCTTCTCCCGGACTTCAGCCGCGCTCAGGCCCATACCAGTGACCATTTCATCAGACACGAGCTTCTCTAAATTACCGTACCCTATGTGTCCGAACCTACGATGCCAAAGCTCCGCAGATTCAGACAAGACCGCCAGGGTTTGAACACACTCCCCCTGGCCCAAACGGGTCGCCTTTAGGTAGTAATGGGTGCCCACCCGCACACACGGGATTTGCTCCCCGTACTCCCACTCCAGGCTTGCGTATTTCCTTATCCGCGGGCCTAGGCTGACAAGACGTTTCGGCCGCCTAATCACAGCAACCGGCCCACGAAAATCCACGTGGTAACCCTTCAGACCTAGTTCGCCTACCGAAATCAGCTTGTGACCAA